ACGATGAAGGGGGACCAATTTGGCCCCTGTGTAGTGCCGTCCCTGCTTGTAAGACAAATAAAGTTTGATATCATTGGCAGTGTAATTATATTAACTCAACTTAGGAAATAAAAACCCAGTCTCACTCTCTTATAAACACTCACCCATGTAAACAAATTTTGAACTCAATTTTTGATATGCTGTATGACTATCTTAATTATTCTCGTTGCTATGCTTTTAACACTTACAACAATGAGCATCTTCTTGTTACAGCGAAAATATGCAGAGTGATTCCAATCTGTATTGTATCAATGTTTACCACTTCAGAATCATTTCAGGAGGTTCTCATAATTCCTAAAGGTGAGTAATGTTGTAGCAAACTATCATATGCCTCCCTAAAAAGATATACAATAATACTTTTGCTATAGCTAATAACGTTATACAATTCATTAGATCGACTCCATAATTCTAAATTTCAAATGTGCAGTACTATATGTTACTTGAATCGTGGATCGCTTTGGTACAGGGTAAGGATACGGGTACACGATACGACACTTTCTTAGGTACGCGGTACGATGGAGGTAAGTTTAGCTGGTATGGTATTTTGGGTCATAATTCGTTTTAGAACTCTTGTGTAGGTCGTTTTCACTACTATACAGCATTATATATTATAGACCATCCATAAATACTAAGTCAGTTACCATTTATATTATACACTGTGCTTGATTTTGTATGATATAAAATAATGTATAATTATAAATCTATATGCATGTAGTCAATTAATATGTATTTTATATTTGTGCTGCATGTTCTAAAGTGAATTGATTTAAGGTTAGTATTACAATTTCAGATCGTTTATTTTGGTGATCTGGATCACTAATCCACCCCGTTTGGGATCGATGTGCCCAGATCATGGGTTATCTAGGGTTTAATGAATTGTGATAACCATTACTATCCATTTAGGCAGCCAAAAAGACGTTTGATCCAAAATTTTTCAATTCAGAATGTGAAATAACATCGATTCAAGAGGGGAGAATTCACATATAAATGCAAAAAAATATGCTAGGTATGATCAGTCTGGCATACCTAAGGTCCCAACAATACGCAGAGCCAGCAGATGATCCAGCAAACAGGTAATGGGACCAAGGGTTGAGACACAAGGACCTTATTTCTGTCACAAAAAAATTAAAAACACATCAGTGCCATGTTGCTAGACCAATATAGTGTTTTTGTCTCAAATATTATTTGGAGACCATACTTTTTTTTTCCCTTATTTCTTTCAGAAGTTGTCAATATGTTTAGTATTTCCCCAATATTTTTAAGATGCCCTTTCCACACATTTTTCTAATACAAAGGTTACACTTAACTTTAATTGGTGCCCTATGGTTAAATACTACAAAACAAATCCATCTACGGAAAACTAGGTAATTATCCACATACCACATGTTTTGTTCCTGTGAAAGCAGCAATAGTGAAAAACTATGAGGTAAGGCATAGCATAAGCCACCAAATAGTTAGGACAAGGATTTGTTGAAGAGTTGTTCAGTTTAGGTACCTGCAAGGGCAAGGCAAGGAACACTAGTTTTTGGTTCTCAAACTCAGCAGGCAAGGCTTAGACATTGATGCCGAGAAGAGGAAAAAAATTCAGGATGTGCTCCCTTGGCTAAATACGGGTGTTAGATTGGTTCCTAGACCAGGCAATGAGAGAGCAGACTTGTAGGGTAAGAGGTCAGTCATCATTACCTGCCTTGAGGCTTCTGGTGCATGAGAGAGGTCTGAATTAGCCTGTTTTTTAATTTCTTCAATTAAAATAGAAGAGGCATATCATACAACCTGTGGAATTAGTTGACATCAGCTCAAAAACCCGCTGATCAGATGAAAGATCTGATATCGAGATACTGCCAAGAGACGAACCACTAATGACCAACTGATCATCATTAAAAGATAAGCATGTCACAGGTCCTTGATGCATCCTGCAAGAAACAAGGTACCCAAAATCAATAAGAAATGTGGAAGGAAACTGTTATCCACCATATAAAGAGGCTTTAAGTTGCACAAAGATTCAACTGCATTTTGCCTTTTCAACTGAAATCACTCAATGCTATACACTATCTTCACAATAAAAGTTACCAATCCATTGTTGCGAAATCAAGAAGTATGTTATTAACACCATTTTCCTCCTTTCAGCTTGGTCAAGCTGCTTGAAATGAAACAACTCCCAACCAACTTGATAAACAGCAGTAAACAGCTATTATGCTAATGGAAATGTGCAATTTGCTTTGTAAAGATCTGCCGGCAAACATCACCTCATTAACTTAAAGTCTGATTTGGGTTAATTGTAAGGCATGAAAATCTTAGGCCAAATTATGATTACAGAAAAAACACGGATTGCATAGATCATAATCCCTTCATCGTAGAAAAATTGTCCACATTTCCTTTATTTGGATGGCCCTAAAAATTTGATACACTTCGAGAAGTCAAGGGGAAAATATAACTAAATTTGTCAACATAGTGGAAACTTCCTTTCATTCTTTCATGGTAAGAAATAAGACATGATTCAAAGAGATGAATACTAACAGGGCTTTCAACAAAATGAACAAAAAACTTGAAACGCAACATTTTACGGAACACAAAACTCATGATTTAATGTGACAATATGACATATTACAGTATCTTGCTGTGGACATCATCAAAGGAGTATTCATATTGCAGTATCTCATTGAGGGCATCGTCAAAGGAGTATTTTATTCAGCACAATGACGTAACTGAGCTATTCTACCAATCCTCCAGCTGCAAAAAATATTTTATGAAGTGGACTTTTTGTGTGTTTGTGTGTGTGTGTGAGAGAGAGAGAAAGGAGGGGAGGGGGGAGAACACTTACCCTAAACCCAACTGAAACTAACCACAGCAATTCAAACTTTCAGTTGGCTTCTTGGGAAACAATCTAGAGGCTAGTAAAAGTCGATTGAATACAAGCAAGGTGAGAAGAAAAAAACCAAGTAAAACAACCCAAAAAATTACTTGCAATACATACTTAATTATTCGAGAACATTTCCTACTATACATGTCATATACACGAACTTTCCCATCTTCACATCCAACAGCAGCTTCTGGATCTACATAACTACAAAAGAAGAGGATCGAAGAAAGCACAAAGCAAAAAATTAAATCAATCGTGCAGGTTTATCTGATTTGTATACTATCCCAAAAATAATAAATTAGAATAAAAAAAATTGTGCGAAGTGAGAATATCTTCATAATCTTTGTTTCAATCCAAATCATCTTATCAGTTGATTCATATTGCCTTACCTTTTCAAAAGGTTTTGATGTTAGATACATATGCTTTGTTAATAAAATACATAACATTTTTTTTATCAGAAAATATATAACAAATTAAATTCTGGCATTTAGCAACTGACCCAATAGTGCATACAATGAAATTTTTGTGCATCTAAAGTGCAATCAACATATACAGTCTTTTGCTGCTATTGAGACTTCTAAACCACTTTCAACGTACAATTTTCTCACTTTCTTGATATAAAATCTAAACAATTCTTGTAGCATATCATAAAGTATGATAGCATATAAGAGCAGTTGACACAATAGAGCTGCAAGAGAACACACTGATAACTTAAACCAAGATGCTACTAAGAAATCATTCAATCAGCACCCTTCGACAGGTGAAAGATACTATCTGTCAGAATATCCAACTCAAAACTAATTAACAATTAGTGGAGAGACCCCTTGAGAATATAAACCAACCTTGTCATTCGACAAGCTCTCTTTACACCCTCTCTCCAGTGGGACCCAAACTCGCACTTAGGACTAATAAACAAACATGCATATTGAGAAATTCAAATGGGTAAGAGATTCGACCAACTGACCACCAAAGGCCCAGCTGTGATACCATGTTAGAGCATCCATTTACAAACTCATTAACAATGAGTAGAGATATAAACCAACCTTGAGTAGCTCTAATCATTTGATGTGGAACACAACCTCTCCTTACACTAACATTATTAAAATAATCTTTTTTCATGACATGGAAAGAGAAAATAATATCTTAATCTTCCAGTACTAAATTTCCCAGATCACTAATTACACTAGCGCTATCTGCACTAAAACAATGGATGTTGACAACATAAGAGGCATGGGTCTATTAAGAGAGTTTGTATCCCACATCGAATAATTAGGACCACCAAGGTTGGTTTATATACTTGAGGGCCCACTCTACCTATTATCAATTGGTTTTGCATTGGATGCTCTAACATGGTATCAGAGCTTAGCCTATATGAATTATCCGGTATAGTGTATATGATTGTTTATTTGTTTGTTGGTCATTCCATGTGAGGCCTCGTTAAGAGAGTTTGTATCCCACAATTCGAATAATTAGGACCACCAAGTTTGGTTTATATCCTTGAGGGGCCACTCCACCCATTGATAATTGGTTTTGGGTCATATGCTGTAACACAAGTTCATTCCAAAACCACTAGAGTAATGTTTTTAAAAAGTTTACTTTAATACCTCATGATCAAGAAAAAAATAAAAAACATACCGCATACACAAAGCCTTGGTAAAAAGACTTTCACGCGAGGAAATTATATTTCTTGCTGCATCACGTCTCCATATGCTTAAACGGGTGCCAACTAGCCCAACAACCTATAAAAAAAATTTGAAAACGCAGAGGTTACTAAACATGTAGGGTTTAACTTGTAAAGTAAAATAAACCATGCCAATGAGAGTATAACAATTTAAACCTTGAAGAATGCCTGTTCTATTTAGATAGTGACTTTAAAGATGAGTAAGCCAAAGAATGTTAAGACTGTCACCATACTTTGTCATGCTAACTCGAAACCCATTCTATAAAAGAAATTTATAACTCGGAAACTTGAGCAATGAGAACCGAAGCCTTATCAGCAACCACTTCTTGGAAGCAGTTTTCAAAACCATTTACCAGGATTAAGTCATGCTGCGAATGAAGCAAGCTGGCCAGAACATGAGCCTGCTTATTCCCAGTCTTGTTCAAATGACACCTCTGGAGGAGTGGCTTAAAATAACACTTTTAGAGGATTGGCTTGAGCTTGAACTGAGACAGAGGATACACATTCAGACTCGGCTTGGTTGGAATATTGCAGGCTCAGGAGTTGTTTAGACTCTGGATAAAAGTTGTTGAGGACTCCAAATCGACCAACCACTTGTCATGAATTGTGCACAATCATGACATCAGAAGCTGGACAATCTAAACCAGCCATTGGTTTTTCTCTTGGTAAGTAGTGATTGAACCAGCCAATGACCACAGAGTCCTGCCTCCTTTCTACCAAGACATTTGAAAGCCCCAAACCATTTCTTCACCCCAAGCACTAAAGAAAAGCTAAGATCTATGTTGACAACATGTCCATCACCTATCAACCTTGAGAATCATGGCTTTTCAAGACACACCCAACAACTAGTGGACCTAGGTTGCCAAGAGCAGAACCATTAAGTCAACTTTCCCTTACAAGGAAAAAGAAAGAAAGCAATAGAATACATATATTTTTTAACAATTCAAATTTTTGAACATGAAAGTAGTCTTCCGAAATAGGCACGCCATATATCTCAGGAAGTGTAGAAATTTCAGCTATTACAAGAGTCCAAAATGTGATCTTCATGAAAATAATACATGTGACTAGCTATTCATTAAAGGAGAAAATATTCAATTTTCACAAAGGAGCATACAATAATTAAAGTGGAAAGAAAATACAGGGCAAGGAGAAATCCTAAACATGCAGAGTGCCTGATGAAGCATCCCCATTCAAAGCTAACGGATGACAGAGAGAGTATGGGGTGATACAGTACCCCAAGAAATGGTTCCAAAACCTTTTAAAAGAGGTTGGTTGGCTTCTTAAACATGGCGTTAGCAATCTCAAAGTCTACTCACAATTTTTATCCACCAACAACATCAAAATAGCCAGCTTCCCAACCAAACGCGCGCACACACAAAAAACCCCAGAAAAGGGCAGAATAAGCAAAACATTGTCAAAGAAAAAACAAGAACACAATTCCAGTACTTGTCCTCCTTCAACCCCAAAAGAAAAAAACCAATATCAACTCCAGTAGGCAGTAGATTTCTGCCTTTCCCATGCTCAAAGGTGTAGTGAGCATCAAATTATAACCACCAAATGAACTCTTATACACTTGTTGCTGACTGGCCAAAAGGAATAACCTTTGAATCGACTGGAAAAAGGTTCTAAAGAAGAAAAATCAAGAACAAATATCAAAATTGCAGGGGGGGATGGATATTACATCCCCCTTTCAGCTACCGGCAATCATGAAGAGCAGAATAAACAGTCGTGTGAATTCAAAATTAAACATCTGCATATGGGCGCATCAACAGGTACGAGCACCTAAAATACATGAAGACAGTAAAGAAAACCCAAAATGCAAGATTGCACTCAGACAACCCCATAAAATAGTTGATGCGCAATGTATAAAACAATCGCAAAAAAGATGCACAGTGATCACGTTTTATTTGCAAAAATGCCACAAAACAAGAGCACATTGGTTGCTTCATTTTACCTTGCTCTCGTCAAAATCAAAATCAATTAAAGGGGCTCTATCTGGAAGAGAATATTCATCCAAACATTTGTAGCTCTCTGCCGACCAGAGACGCATCACCTAGCATCATTAAAAAAACCTTCATTTAAATAAGGTGCACCATAGGTCCAGTAGGAGTAAACAGAAGATAGTACTGCCAATATACATACGTCCATCATCACATACATAAAAATTAACTATATTACATAAATGTGCAGACACACATTTATATATGTGTATCTAAGCCAAAAAGATACTAGTCACGTGCCATGAAGACTAAGATTGCAGCCTCTAAAAATTTACATGGGTATAACTGAAGAAAAAAGAAAGGCAAGTGGAAGGCTGATAAGGATGAGTGATTGAGAACACAAATTATCCAATTTAAGCTTTTTTTATTTGCAAGTAAAAAATGTAAACCAGGGATGAAACCCTTGTAAATGTATATTATTCGAGTAGTCCAGCAGAAAACTCAATCAAGAAGGAGAAAAATGTAAACCACTAAAGAACTATAAAGAAACAACAATCAATAGACTCCCGGATGAGTCATAAACCAAAAGAAACTAATATATTGTAATACTTTAAGGCCTAATGCAAAACCAAAAACATTGCCAATTAAAAACAAAGAAGGATTCAAGCAGCACACACCAAAAATGTTCGGGACATTTTTTATCAAGTTTTCAAAAACATAAGCCATTTAAGAGCAGTTGAAGTACTGTTATACATTCACCTCTCCCAACCAACACTTGAACCCTGCACCTCACTCTTTAGGTGCTGGTACAAAATATCACACAGGTTACCAACTAGTGGGACACTCCAAAAACCTTAAAGACATCAAGAAAACTACATCTAAACAACCACAAATGAATATAAAAAGGGGGAAAGGAAAAAAAACTCCAGGGATGCATTAAAAGTCTTCTTAGACCAAATGCTTTACAAAGTCAGCCATAGGGCATAGATGGCTATAAAAGGCCATTCCAACAGTTAATTAAATACCACCATATGGGGATGATAAACCTTTTGCAAATTAAAATTTAAGCAAAGAGAGCAATATGTCATAGCAGGTAGTTAAGATAAAATGTATTAGACAATATTCTGGTCATTTCCTATTGTCCTTTCCCTACTTTCTGGTTGATATTGACTGAGCTGGAGGTAAAACAATTTGTCTGACAATAGCACAGGTGCATTTTTAATTTTATGAAATTAACAAGGAAAAAAAGTTTAAATCGCATCATTAAAGAAGAGGCATGATGTCAGAATTAGTACATAAAGGACAATACCTTATCGCCCACACCCGTCAGAATCAAACCCATCTTCATTCGGCACTGATCAACCCTAACAGAAAGCAAGGTAAGAATAACGTTGCACCCACACCAAAATATGCACCTACTGGATTTACCCTATATCTCCCAAAGAAGACAACACGCTTCAATCTCATACACACCAGCAAAGACAGGAATAACTGACAAAAAATTGCAGAAATCCTCAAATCTTTACTCAAGCATAACACTAAACGACATTTACTCCAAATAATTCACATTGCTCCACTGTAAAGATAATAATATGCCTCAACAATTTGATCAGGTTGACCAAGGCAATATGAAATAATTGCAGATTCATATATTTCCAAGTTCCCAAGTTAAGCTTGTTAACCATAACATGTCCTACGTGGTAAACAAGCTAAACAGTTCTTGTTATGCTTGCATGGCCTTTCTAATGTTAGCAGTGCAATATACAGGCCACCACTACGGTTTAGTACCATGACAAGAGTAACTAAAATCATGCCTCACTCAAATTAACCCATTTAGTGGGAAAACACAACAAACCCCCTACCGCAACATGGGACCCCTTATTAGCCAACTTTGTGACTCACAATCAAAAACATTACCTAGCCAAGCAATCCGATTCTCAGAAATTCCATGAACAAAACATCTATGTAAGATAACTTGAAAGGTTTCTTGTATCAATTAAAATTTTATCAAATGTATGCGACCGGAGTATAATGTAAAAGCCTTTTGGCACTCCACATGTACCCCATGTGTACATGGGTTGCACCGCCTTCAAACTCAGAAAACTTTTTACATATCAGAAAATTATTAATATTATCCAAAGCCCCGCAAGAAGAACAATCCTGTGGGCTCATGACAATGTCGAGTGACACATGTCGCCTGCACTAGGAATTTTCTGGTAATTGAATTTTGTATTTATGAGTAACTTTAGATCAGTCAACTATTTGATTAGTATTGATTTTCATACACACTATACTCTAGAGTCAAAAACGCTTTGGTCATCTCATATTGTGAAGCATTTCATTATGCCCGTCAAGTATGTTTTTTGGGTCGCTAGTAGTTGGGAAAAAGTGGTATATACTTGAGCCGTTATGTGAATGACGGGGTCACAGTAGATAATCTAGTCCAAAGTTATAAATTTTCTAAATTTGAGCCAGTGATCTAGCAACCTTTATGTCTATTCTATGAAATGCATCATCCCACTACACTTACATTTGTAGGAATATAATGTCCACTCCTGGCACCTAGGAAGCAGTGATACTCGCCGGGTTGTCAACGTGGTGGTGTCGAACACGTCTCCGACACTTCTAAAAGTGTCCTAAATAGGAAAAAAAATTAGTTTGATACGTCTAGGATACGGGAGGGACACGTATGAGGTACTTCAGCGATACAAAGGGGATTTTTTTTATTATTTTAAAAAGTTTAGGGGCTGAAACAGAAAAAAAATATAAAGAAAGAAAAANTGTTAACCATAACATGTCCTACGTGGTAAACAAGCTAAACAGTTCTTGTTATGCTTGCATGGCCTTTCTAATGTTAGCAGTGCAATATACAGGCCACCACTACGGTTTAGTACCATGACAAGAGTAACTAAAATCATGCCTCACTCAAATTAACCCATTTAGTGGGAAAACACAACAAACCCCCTACCGCAACATGGGACCCCTTATTAGCCAACTTTGTGACTCACAATCAAAAACATTACCTAGCCAAGCAATCCGATTCTCAGAAATTCCATGAACAAAACATCTATGTAAGATAACTTGAAAGGTTTCTTGTATCAATTAAAATTTTATCAAATGTATGCGACCGGAGTATAATGTAAAAGCCTTTTGGCACTCCACATGTACCCCATGTGTACATGGGTTGCACCGCCTTCAAACTCAGAAAACTTTTTACATATCAGAAAATTATTAATATTATCCAAAGCCCCGCAAGAAGAACAATCCTGTGGGCTCATGACAATGTCGAGTGACACATGTCGCCTGCACTAGGAATTTTCTGGTAATTGAATTTTGTATTTATGAGTAACTTTAGATCAGTCAACTATTTGATTAGTATTGATTTTCATACACACTATACTCTAGAGTCAAAAACGCTTTGGTCATCTCATATTGTGAAGCATTTCATTATGCCCGTCAAGTATGTTTTTTGGGTCGCTAGTAGTTGGGAAAAAGTGGTATATACTTGAGCCGTTATGTGAATGACGGGGTCACAGTAGATAATCTAGTCCAAAGTTATAAATTTTCTAAATTTGAGCCAGTGATCTAGCAACCTTTATGTCTATTCTATGAAATGCATCATCCCACTACACTTACATTTGTAGGAATATAATGTCCACTCCTGGCACCTAGGAAGCAGTGATACTCGCCGGGTTGTCAACGTGGTGGTGTCGAACACGTCTCCGACACTTCTAAAAGTGTCCTAAATAGGAAAAAAAATTAGTTTGATACGTCTAGGATACGGGAGGGACACGTATGAGGTACTTCAGCGATACAAAGGGGATTTTTTTTATTATTTTAAAAAGTTTAGGGGCTGAAACAGAAAAAAAATATAAAGAAAGAAAAAGAAAAAAGAGGACGATGTTGTTTGATTGAGAGAGAGAGAGAGAGAGAGAGAGAGAGGGGTGACGTCGTTTCTTCTCTCATACTCTCATTCAATCGACTTAGAGCTCGAGGGGCAAAAGAAAAGGCGAAGCACTCTGCTGGTTCAGAAACGAAGACAGGACAAGAAGAAGAGAGGGAAAACTCAGGTTCGTTTTTTGCTTTCCTAGGGTTTGAGTTTTGGCTTGCATGCTTTGAAATAAGATTAAATACTTGATTTTGTGCATTGATTTTTCTATTTATGTTTAGAATCATGTGATTTATGAATTTCAACGGGTTACAGTTTGGAAATTTGTAAAATCTTTTGGGACTTTTGTTGTTTGAACAAATTTTTAGGCGCATTTGTTGTTCACCGACCTGTGCTTACATTTTAGCCTTTTAACCGTTTTTTTTTCTGTTCTTGAACTTTCTTTTTAATCTCCTGGTTGATTTTGTTGTTCTTGATTTGTGCTAGTCGCTTAGTTGTTGTGAGTATATTTGGGATTATACCCTAGCATATACTCCCATGAGGATAGTGGACTTTACTGTTTAATGTTTATTATTTTTTTCTTTCTGCTGTTGTTCAAAATATGTTCTTTTTGCCGTTGTTCACAAAATGTGGTTACTGCACCTTACTGGTTGGTTAACTTGGTTGTTTACACTTTTCTTTTCTTTTTTGGTAGTTATTTACACTTGTTTTTTATTTAGGAAAATGAGTAGTTTGGAGTGTTCTTTTGGCCGTGAGAATTGCAGTGATCTTCATAATCACACCCCTTTATGGAAGTGCGTTCAAAAAGTATACAAACTTGGAAGAGGGGGAGGAAATATTCAATTTAAATGCAACTACTGTCAACAAAGTTTTAAAGGATCATATTAAGGTTAAGGACTCTGAACCTATGAGAGAAGCAAACACTTCTTTGCAAGAATTTTGTACCACGTCTACGAAATTCTCTCAAGTGTTATCTACAGCTTCAATATTCAAGAACACTGACTGTGCTTAAAAATCTAAAGCTTCTGAATCCTACAAGGAGCAGCCAAATACATTTGTCAAAGTATAAGAATCAAACTTGAAGAGCTCTGGCTAACCCAAGTATTGGAGGGAAAACCCTAGGCTAATGGGATGAAGGGAATTGGCCATAACCACTTAGAAAAAGATGAGTAACTAGCTATTTTTTTCATTTTTCAAATGTGATGATTTACCTGTGACTGAGTGAAACCATAGTAAGTACAAGGGTGATTAAAATGTCAATTCAGAGAGAGGAAGATCAACTGGCCAACCAAAGTGGAGGACCTCCTTGAGGTGGTTTTACCACTTATAGGAATGTTCTTCAATGGCGCATCAAATGCGTGCAACAAAGCAAAGCTAGAAGGAATGAATTCTAGTTAAAAGAATGAAGCTGAAAAAATATGACTGAGCAAGAGCGTACCTAAGCACGCACTGCAGTTTCCTGCTTCGTTTGGAGGGCACGCACGGATTCTTCCACTTAACATCATTCTGGCTGGCGTCTGGATTCTTTCTACTTTCGTACGTGCTGCTTTCAGTCTTACTCAAATAGGGGGTGGCGTTCTATTCCAAACTGAATCATGGGCTGGGCTCACTCACTCCCTTTCTATAGAAAAAGGGTTCGATCATAAGCTTATGTGATCGGAGCCAGCATCTCAAGGAGCCATAAGCCATCATAAGCTTCTTTGAAGGTAATCTTCATACACCACTGTGATAAGATCGCATAAGCTTGGAAAGCCAAGCTAAAACCCTACAGAGTCGATCTTGTTGCACGTGGAATTTACAAAAGAATCTTTAGAATAAGCCTATGATTCCTATACTAACTATGAGCTAATAGAAAAAGAATGACTCGAGCTTAGGCCGGCCAAAGGCAAGAACCAACACATATGTTAAAAATCCCTAGTCATGAAATTCAAGTATGCCTCAAAGGCTCAAAGTGACTCCATAAATATTATTGGAAATGCAAAGGGTAGTCGATCAAGTTGAGATGAGAGTAAAAAGAAGTTTGTCCAAAAAAGTCCCTTACCACTATCTTCAACTTCAAACAAAGCTACTTTCTCGAGTGAAAGTATTACTACTATGGGATTTAGGTCATTGATGCATGGGGGTGGTTTTGATCCAAAGAAAAGGAAGAGTACTTCCATTCTTAAGAAAGCCTTTAACATTGGAACTTGAACAAAGCTACATAACGAGCTTGCAGGGATGTTTTTACTTAGTTGTTTACCATTCCACCTTGCAAGGAATCCACACTATTGTAGCTCTTATACTTTTACTGCTAGTAATATGATTAGTGATTATATCCCTCCTGGTTATAATATGACGAGGACTTCACTTCTTCAAAGATACTTGTAAGACCAGAACACATATGACAAACATATAATTTTTGTAATAAGCATATTCACACTAGAGATGCGCGTAGGATTGATAACCAATATTTAATTATGAATAATGATATGAGACCTAAACCTAAACGATGAATATTTTAATATTTAGACATAATTTATAAATAATGATTATAGAGAAAATTGTTTTATATAAGTGTGAAAAGTTAAATAAGAATGTTGACATGAGATATAACTTTATTATTTTATTTACGATAGCGCATGTGGAATTAATTGGGTGGTAAACATGTGACATCAATTTATTGTTATTAAAATAAAATGTATTAGAATATAAAAAGAGTGGTTAAGAGTCCAAAATACAAATTTAACAGGTTACCAATATTCAATATTTGGGATATATATATATATATAGGGAGAATTATACCAAGACCACCTGGGACTTTTTATTTAATCACTCAGATCCCCTAACATTTTAAAATATTACACACATATGCCTGATGTTTGTACGCACATAACTCTTACACCCAGTTGTCAATGTCAGTTATATATTAGTAAATTACACCCGGGCTCCTGAAATTTGTAGACATATAATCCTTAAAATACTCCAATCAAAGATAAAATATTAAATATTTTAAATTTTATAACCAAATTTTTTTCTTAAAAATCGTAATTAATATCCAATTATGCTATCTATTGTAGAATATGCAATTACAAGTACATAAAATATTTACCCAACCGAATGACCTTTCCACTGACAAACAGCAATGGAACCTTCTTGTAAAGATCGCCGATGCCGATCCATCCCAATCTGTTCCAAATCTCTCTTCCATGATCTTTCCCCACATGTAGACGCATCACAAATCCCTGAAGAATCACTTTCTTGTTCCTTGTGATATTGTAATTGCAATAACTTCACCTTATCAACGACTGTTCTCCTTCAAAGGATAAAAAAACGTAAAAAAAAAATAAAATTGCTGGCCATTATACGCCAAAATACATATACATACATCTCTATAAAAATGGGCGAAAAGATAGGAAAAGAAAGATGTGTAAGGCATACCATGATTTGCAGACGGCGGAGCACTGAATAAGCTGCACGATGTCGAAGAAAGAGAAGATTATAGAAAGAATGTCGAGGCTTAGGGCTTGGATTGTCGTCCTCTTCTTCGTGGGTCGCCGGAGGGCGGACGCTTTGGGGTCCATCGTTGGATTCGTCGACGGCAAGTTTTGAGTTGATAAAGAAAATTATGGTAAGGGCGAGGCATTTGGAGTATACAGGTACTATTGGGTGGGGCAGGAAGTGTAAATAATGAATTACTCCGACCACCCTGAAGTTTCCTGAATTAGATATTCCACCGTATTCTTTCATACCAGAGAATTACACCTGGCTTTCCTTCCTTGTTTTTTTTTTCTTTCAACGTATTAAATACTTGGAAAAATTATATCTAGAACCTCTAAAATTTATCACTCAACCGCTTAAACTCTTAATATTTAAAATATTATATTCATATACTTTAGGCTTTGTATGCATGTAAACCCTAGAATATTGTTAATAAATTACATTTAAACTCTTTAAAGTTTGTATGTATATAATATTTAGCCCCCTAAGTTTAAAATATTATACTTAAACAAAAAATATTTCAATTAAAAATAAAATATTAAATATTTTAAATTTTACAACTAAAATTCATGTTTTATTATGTCATTTACTAATATAAAATCAAAAATAAAAATCTAATTTTTCTTTAAAAAATTACAATTAGTATACAATTATACAAAAAAAATTAAAAAAAAATAAACAAGGGATCAAACTATAATAAACACAGTATCTTCTATTTTTAATTGGGGTAGTTTGGACGTTTAATAGATATATTTAGACTTTCAAGTTTAAAATATATATACTTAGACAAAAATACTCTAATCAAAGATAAAATATCAAATATTTTAAATTTTACAATAAAAATTCACGTTCTTTTATATCATTTATTGATATAAAATCAAAAATAAAAATCTAATTTTTCTTTAAAAAATTATAATTAGTATACAATTATACTATTTATTGAAATAAAACTAAAAATATAAATAAAGAGTCAAACTATAATGAATGTAATATCTTCTATCTCTAATTGAAGTAGTTTGGTCGTTTAATAGATAATATAATTGTATACTAATTATGATTTTTAAAGAAAAAATTAAAATTTTATTTTTGAGTTTATATCAATAAATGATATAATAGAACATGAATTTTGATTATAAAATATTTGATATTCTATATTTGATTAGATTATTTTTGATCTAAATATAACAATTTAAATTTGAGAGGTCTATGTATTACATACTTATAAACTTTAGGAGGTTTAAGTGTATTTTGTTAACCGATATTCTACCATATATTAACGGCATGAATCTAAGTGTTACACACATATAAACTTTAAAGGATCTTTATAAAATATTTCAAATATTAGAGGTCTAAATAATTAAGTGATAAATCTCAAAGAGTCTGAGTGTAATTCTAACTAGATACTTTTTCAAGGTTACTGGAACTTAGGGATGATTATTGTGTCGTGTTTTGTCGAGTTTGTGTCATGTTTTGTTGGGTTCGTATCATGTTATTGCGGACTCGTGTCGAGTACTAGTCAATCTTAACCTAACTTATTTAACTACTTGTCTTATGTTGACTGACTTATTTATTTTCATGTCGGGTTCATATTTGTATTTGTGTTAACCCATATAAATCTTAAATAAAGAATTTAATGCTAAAATTTAAGTTTAAAATTCTATTATCAATTAATTGAATCTATGTTTATATATTTTTTATAAATTAAAAATTAACTTAATAAACATAACAATAATAAAGAGTAAAATATATTTTTCGTAGAATAATTATGGCAATGTTTAATAAATAATAACAAATAATTAGAATTTTATTTTTATAATATTAGTTAAACATGTTAATCGTGTCAATTTCGTATTATTCGTGTTTGACACTAATCCAACACATTTATTATTCATGTTAAAGAGTCATGTTATTTACGGGTTCATATTAAAAAATTATCAATCCCGACCCGTTAATTTCATGCCGAGTTTGAGTCGTGATTTCGTGTTGTGTTAGAAATTGTCAGCCCTAATTGAATCCAATCAAAAAATTAGGGTTGTTGAGTTGAGGTCCTATAATTAAATTGTTTGAAATTTTATAATAGGTGGGCTTATGCTAATTGTGGATTTTACAATTTTTCAAACACAATGAGGTAAATGTATAATCCAAAGGAATAGGTAGTTTGATCAAAGTATTAATTGTGATACTATTAGACTAGTTTTGTAGGATTGAATTGCTTTCAATATATTTTTTCATTAATTTCCTTTAACAATCATTTTATTCAAGTGTGATTCATTATATACAATAAGTTTTTTACCCCTCAATGATAGATGATGTGCTAAAATTTAAAAAAATATATATATAACAAAGAAGATTGATTTTATCTTTGTCTTACCATAAATCATTCTATTCATTGGATATAGTGGGTATTGGTATGTTGGCAGAAAAATTTAAGGTATTGATATGAAGCTACAAAGAAGATAAATTTTAAACGAGCAATCACTAAATATATGATATTACGTTTGTTTTATTTATTATAATATTTCGACCAAAAAGAAGAAAAATTGACGACGAAAACAATGGAAAAATAAACTATACCCCGAATATATTATGATTCGAACCCTAATGGGGGGGGGGGGAGGCATTGCAGGTTGCCAAAAAAGAATACTGAATTTTTTTTTGGAGAAATCAGTATTCAATTTGTTGAAGTATTAGGAAGAGGTGTCCCAGCAAGGAAGTGCAAGATAAGAGAAAGAGCTCTTGCTGGCTGGTAACTTGGAACCTGATGTCCAGCCCCTCTTACAGTAGCAAATGTTAGGTCTCCTTCATAGACTTGTGTGTACCCACCAACCTGCAACAAAACACAAAATCAATTGAAAGTAATTTGGTGATTTCATTGATCGGTTAGAATAAAGGATCAAAATATCGTTTCGAAACGTCTGAAACGTTTTCATTTCCAAGGAGACCGAAACCAATAAGTGATGGAATCGAAATTCTAATATTTCGAAATATTTCATAATATTTTGAGATGTATTATAATATTTCAATGTATCTGTACAATTNTAATATTTCGAAATATTTCATAATATTTTGAGATGTATTATAATATTTCAATGTATTTGTACAATTGTTTTANCCAAGGAGACCGAAACCAATAAGTGATGGAATCGAAATTCTAATATTTCGAAATATTTCATAATATTTTGAGATGTATTATAATATTTCAATGTATCTGTACAATTGTTTCAAGGTATTTCAAGATATTTTGATATATTTAAATCAATGTTTTAGAAAAATAATTTTAAATTTTTATTTTTTTCATTATATTTACGAAACGGATCGAAACGTTTTCGTTTCCTAGTAATCGAAACAATACACCAAAACAAAATTTTAATCCTCGGTTAGAATTTAGAGCTTATTTCTTGGGTACTCGAAAGTGTCGGGTCGGGATCTCTTAAAGCATCTGATTAATTCTTCGGGTCCAGAANTTTTTATTTTTTTCATTATATTTACGAAACGGATCGAAACGTTTTCGTTTCCTAGTAATCGAAACAATACACCAAAACAAAATTTTAATCCTCGGTTAGAATTTAGAGCTTATTTCTTGGGTACTCGAAAGTGTCGGGTCGGGATCTCTTAAAGCATCTGATTAATTATTCGGGTCCAGAAGCCAACCCCTAAGGATCATGAACCGAGAAAGTCCGGACCGAAGTCTAAGTGGATGGACTTGGGAGCACTCAAACTCAAACATCAAAGTACTTGTTAAAAAGCACTAAAGAAAACGAAATTAAAAAAAAAAAAAATCTTATCAATTTGTTGCTCCATTTTGGTGAAATGTATACGAGGTTTCTGTCAATTTTCAAATGTGACTTGCATATACAACTCAACATAACAAAGTTTTTATCTCGATTATTTTAGATTAGTTACATAAATCTCATTTCTTTTTGGTCCTCTATCAAGAATTATATTTTTGGGTTAATAGCATTTTTAGTGTCTAAATTTTGCATTTTTTGTCAATTTAGTACTCATTGTATNGCATATACAACTCAACATAACAAAGTTTTTATCTCGATTATTTTAGATTAGTTACATAAATCTCATTTCTTTTTGGTCCTCTATTAAGAATTATATTTTTGGGTTAATAGTATTTTTAGTCTCTAAATTTTGCATTTTTTGTCAATTTAGTACTCATTATATCAATTTTGTNTTACATAAATCTCATTTCTTTTTGGTCCTCTATCAAGAATTATATTTTTGGGTTAATAGCATTTTTAGTGTCTAAATTTTGCATTTTTTGTCAATTTAGTACTCATTGTATCAATTTTGTCCCTAAAGTATTCAATTTCTGTTATTATATTGTTTAAGTTATTTAACGAAAGTGACTACATGTCATTTTTTTAGATGATATCACGTGTCTAACACGTGATCATTCTGTAAAAAACTTAAACGATCCGTCTATGTAGGGACCAAAATAACACAAATTGAATATTTTAACGACCAAATTGATAAAATTGATATAATGAGAACTAAACTGAAAAAAAATACATTATTTAAAAACCAAAAGTATTATTAATCCTACATTTTTTGTTAAACTATAAGTAATTAAATATACTTTTTAACTATTTTTGTGGTAGTGATATTGATATGGCACTTGTTTTGCACCTGATTAAACTTGAATATCAGTGGCCTTTTTGTTGCATTCCCTGGTGTTTTTAACAAGGAGGAAGGAACCAAAGCTGGGCCAGAAATGAAAGACTCCTCTTACCAGAAAAAAAAACACACTATTTTAAAGTCTCAAAATAGCTGCCAATCCAGCCACTTTTGTTTTCTGCTGAACATGGAAAACAAAGCACAAGAGCATAAGGATGTTCAAAATTTAAAATTTAATCGATTTTGGTCAAGTTCAATCATCCACGAAAATTTTTGAATCCCGTACTTGTGTTATTTATTAGAACGATCCACAAAAACTCCTCCTCTACTCCTATGAGGTTTAAAATATAAACCGTAATAGTTAATGGTCGTAGAATATAAGGGATATGAACCGTTATTGTGCTTTATGTTTTGTTTTATTATATAAATTTTGACATCAATTCACAAGTTAAGTAGCATACAAGAAAAAGAAGTAGAAATAATTAGAAGGGTAAATATCACAATTAGTCCACAAACTTTGCCTGATGTTTTAAAAATAGTCACTAAACTTTGAATTGTCTCAATTTAGTTCCTCAATTATCAATTTCGTATCAATAAAGTTCTTTCGTCCATTTCACCTGTTAGATCAAACAGAGACAAGCTCATTTGTTTGTCATGTGGTCATCTATGCCTCCGTTTGTTCTGACAGGTGAAATAGATGGAAACTGATAGTTAACGGGCTATATTGAAATTATTGAAAGTTCATAGACAATTGTTAAATAGGAGTCAAAGTTTAAAAACTAATTTTGTTATTTACCCTAATTAGAAATAAGATAAATTAGGAACAGATGGATAAAGAGAGATTAAGTACCTCTCCATTGAGTAGCCAAGGATGCCATGGAGTTTTCACAGGAAGCTTCATGTAGTTAATGGAATACTTGGTTGAAGTCACTGGTATCCTTCCATCTATATCACCACTGCATTCCACACAAACAAGGATGCTCTAAATTTTGACTAAATTCACTAATATATAAAAACTTATTGGGATGGGGGCTGAGTGATCTATGTTCCACCATATCTGTTTTGTTCACAGTGAGACTACTAATTCTTAAGACCCTTCAAAGAAATTACTTAAAGTTGTTAGTATGAGTTTAGTCTTAATAAATTCGGGTCATAACCAATTTGACTATCAGACCTATTTAATAAGTGAATACGGAAATAGGTAAACACAACTCAAGTTCGACTATAGACAATTTATATACGCTACAAATTTAAAGGAACCTGAGTTTCATTATACACAACAAAAAATAGAGATCAAAATAAGACATAAACTCATATTGAAAGACCATTATTGTTTCGATATTGGGTCTGTTTAAAGTTAGCTTAAATAGGTAATTTTTAAGGACTTTGGAGTAAAATAAGTCAAGTTCGTTTGGACATTGATTTTTGTATGAGCTTATACAACAACTTTTTGGACCCAAAAAGGTTTAGGCTAATTCAATAAACTAATTTTATGAGTTTTTCTTTCAGTTTTTTAGAGTTTTGTAGAGGGTTCTAATTTTTTAGAAAGTCACTCCAAAAAGATTTTTTCAATTTTTTTAATCTTTTAAAGAACACCTCAATCGGTTGTATANTGATTTTTGTATGAGCTTATACAACAACTTTTTGGACCCAAAAAGGTTTAGGCTAAAAAGATTTTTTCAATTTTTTTAACCTTTTAAAGAACACCTCAATCGGTTGTATAAGACTTTTTTAACTCCTATTTTTTTGCAAAACTTTTCAAATCGTAACTTTTCATCTTAAAAAGCCAACTCCAAACAGAGTCATTGCTTTATATGTTATATTTAACATCGAAATGGTCCATCATGGAATCTTTGACAATTTTACACTCACAACATCGAGGTAAGAACAAAGACATATATGGGCCTCTACGGCTTAAGTGCAATCTAGCTAATTTCTAGGGGGGAGAGAGAGAGAGAGTTATGATGATAATGTTGAAGATGAAGACAAGGAGAAAGAGATGGGTCTTACCTAAATATCCACACTCGAAGGCAATTCTCCATGAACTCTTCTAGGAGTGGTATCATTGTTGATGGGCTGTCTTCCCACTTCTTGATCACATCACTGCAAATTTGTGTCAATGTCACATTCTTGTGGCACATGGGCATGGGTGCGTGTCATTTTCAAATTTTTACTTTGTATTTTCTGATTTTTTCTTTTTGAAAAAAATTACCGACATAGAGTCAATTAAATAAAAGTATGGGTTCAACCAGCGATTTTCAATATAAAAACGTGCTTGCAAAACATGTTTTTTAAACACATTGAAAAAGAGTTCGTTTGTAAAATATGCCTTCAATAGAAGCCATTTTTGCAAAATTTTAAAGGTGTTTCAAAGTGTTTTTATGCAAACACAATTTTACAATAAAAAGTGAGGATTCAAACAATGTTTTTATACGACAATCTAGTTGAGAAATGAGTTTTATTGCACTCGAAAGAGAGTGAGATCTTATCTAAAACACTTTCTCTTCAATTCTCTTTTTGACACATTATCATACATTTAAGTGAAAGACTCATTATATACAAGTAAATTTCTTACTCATTAATGTTGAATGATGTGCCGAGAAAAGAATTAAAAGAAAAGTGTACTCAAGAGGATCTAGATCTGTGAGAGAGAGAGAGTACCTGCATGGTTCCCAATCATAATGGATTTTGGTGACATTGGCATGGAGGGCCTCTTGAACATCAGGCCGATTGAGATAAGCATACACGTAATAGTCAGTGCATGGATCGAAATTCCTTACCTGCTCCAAAAATTAGTACTTGTTTTAAGAGAAAAGTCATACAACTTAACGAGGTCATCGCTGGAATAGCCGTGGGCTATTTCTCAAGAAAGATCAATCTAACTACAAATTTCTCCTCTCTCCTCTCTCCTCTCTCCTTGTTTTACAGCATGTCAAATCACTTGAAATAGGACGATCAAAAAAGTAATCTAGAAGAGGGTGACGGCATGTTGGAGACGGCTTTTAAATTTTTGAAAAAATTTATGGGGAGAAACTATCTTAGGAATATTCATATTTAATACGTAGAGAATTTTTCACCACATAATTTTGGTGAATTATTCTTCAAATCAAAGGTATGGCTCCCCCACCAGCAATTTTCCGTCATCTAGGCTCCATTGGTGGGTTTCCCTCGTTTGTTCAGGTTGTTATAGTCATGCTCAGGCTAGGGTTCNAAAAAAAAAAATATCGACTTAGCACCATTTTTAGGATTTAGTTTTAAAAACCCAATGCTATAATTTTTTGAAGATTTGAAGGTAATCATCAAGAAAGCATCTCAACATTAGAGTTTGATAGTTGACTGCTATGTTAACTTAGTTANAGAGAGTGAGATCTTATCTAAAACACTTTCTCTTCAATTCTCTTTTTGACACATTATCATACATTTAAGTGAAAGACTCATTATATACAAGTAAATTTCTTACTCATTAATGTTGAATGATGTGCCGAGGAAAGAATTAAAAGAAAAGTGTACTCAAGAGGATCTAGATCTGTGAGGGAGAGAGAGAGAGTACCTGCATGGTTCCCAATCATAATGGATTTTGGTGACATTGGCATGGAGGGCCTCTTGAACATCAGGCCGATTGAGATAAGCATACACGTAATAGTCAGTGCATGGATCGAAATTCCTTACCTGCTCCAAAAATTAGTACTTGTTTTAAGAGAAAAGTCATACAACTTAACGAGGTCATCGCTGGAATAGCCGTGGGCTATTTCTCAAGAAAGATCAATCTAACTACAAATTTCTCCTCTCTCCTCTCTCCTCTCTCCTTGTTTTACAGCATGTCAAATCACTTGAAATAGGACGATCAAAAAAGTAATCTAGAAGAGGGTGACGGCATGTTGGAGACGGCTTTTAAATTTTTGAAAAAATTTATGGGGAGAAACTATCTTAGGAATATTCATATTTAATACGTAGGGAATTTTTCACCACATAATTTTGGTGAATTATTCTTCAAATCAAAGGTATGGCTCCCCCACCAGCAATTTTCCGTCATCTAGGCTCCATTGGTGGGTTTCCCTCGTTTGTTCAGGTTGTTATAGTCATGCTCAGGCTAGGGTTCTACCCTAGTTGTCCCCTTGAACTCTTTTATATCAGCAACCAAAAAATATATGCCTCCCCCATAATGTTAGTATTCTAATACGACCCGTGAAGTCTATTGTATCTTTTCTACAATTATGAATTGACCCCTTAAAACGTTAAAATCTTGGTTGTGTCCCTCTCTCCAAGTCCATCATTGCTTGAGCTTGACTTAATTTTAGCTAAGTGGGGCTTTTTGGTTGAAACTTATGCATAAGATAAACATATTGGCTAATTTACAAGAACTCTTGCAACTTACTGAAGCTTTCTTGGGTTTGATGCTGAGATTGGTGTTAAAGCACAAAGGAGCATAGATGTTATAGATATTAATGTCGGAAACATCGATGTCGGCCGCATTAGAGGCGTTATTGCACTCATCGGACTCTGTGGTGGCTTTGGGAGAGAAATCACAATATTTCTGAATTTGATACGAAGTTTCATCCGAAATGAGAGCGTGACTCGCAAAGTAATCGTACATTCCTTTATTATCGGTCTCATCATTGATCACTGCATTTCCAATCTGCATGGCGTACAAGATAGAGCATGAGCGGAGTCAGAATTTTTTTTCAAAAACTAATAGTAAAGGTTCCATAACAACCAAAAAATATTTTTCTTGACTTTTGAAAACTAATTACTTTTTAATCATTACACAACATTTATGTCTCAAAAATTTAAGAAATTTACAGTGTCAACAAGTAAATTAAAATTCTACACAACTTAAAGAAACTTCGAAAATTTTGAGAAAAATATGCTAGCTACTACACCAATTTGTCCTAATAAAAATTCAAGAACTACTAGAAAATTGTGAAACTAGATCTTGGTAATTTTGTATACATTGGCCCTAATAATTAGAGTTTCAAATAATTTTTTTGAGAATTGAACGAAATCTAAGAAATTAGAGCTTGGTAATTTTTCTAAAACCTTATATACGTAAAGATAAGGTTCATTTTGTATAAAACAATTAGTTTTTATCAGTTTTTGTAATAAAATCATGTCAAATTCTGGATGGGGGAGAGATTGGAGATCTAAGAAGAAAACAACCATATTAATGGCTCTGAAGACTTTGTGTACACATCTCATCTTATAAATATGATTCATCTCTACTTGTATCAAATACACAATTACAACGTAATTAGAACATCAATAAGAGTGATACAGCTCTTTTGGGTATTGTGTATTTGATTCAAAGAAAGATGACACATTTTTGTCAAAGTCTTAAAGCCATTAATATGGCTTTGGCCTACTTCTAGATATGTTAACCATAATTAATGACTGACATGTTGTAAAGATCTGACTCTTTCAATTATTGAATTCTCGTATCTTCAACAAACTATGCAATTGAGGGATGGTAATCAAGTAAGCACAAAGATAAACCAACCCCCCCCTCCCCTCCACAAAAAAAAAAAAATATCGACTTAGCACCATTTTTAGGATTTAGTTTTAAAAACCCAATGCTATAATTTTTTGAAGATTTGAAGGTAATCATCAAGAAAGCATCTCAACATTAGAGTTTGATAGTTGACTGCTATGTTAACTTAGTTAAATTTATTTTCGAGAGTTGTAGCGGGTGTGATCAAGAGACTCATGATTCCACCAATAATGACCTATTGAGATAGTCTCTGAACACTCTCTTTTATCGCACCTCTTTTTTGACAAAAAAAAAAAAAAAAAAAAAGAGTAAACATCTCAAAACTTAAGTGAATTCTACATGCAGAATTTGATTTTGAAATTCAGTGGGGTTATTGGACCCCATAGAGAGAGAGAGAGAGAGAGAGAGATATGAAGATAATGATTAAACATGTAGTTGCAGCTGTTTTATAGTCTGGTTTTTTGTGTATTATTAGGTGAGTACAGCTTCAATTTCGGACATGTTCCTACCATATGACCAATGACAAGTCGGCGAGGAAGGTCGGCCTGGTCTGCTTTGTCTGTCCTAATCCCCGATCGGTGGACAAGTAAAGAGTTATAGGAGCAGCAAACAGGAAAAGAAGGACATTTTAGAATAGCAAGACTCCAAAACTATAACAACCTTGTGACATGACAACTAGTGTTGGCTCCTAATCCGGATGTTTCCATGAAAGTTGTAACTAATTGTCGTACTCATGTTTTGATTGATGGATTTAATTGGATGGGTTTGAACTAGACCTGACAATGGTGTCGAGTAAAACGATTTTGTGTTAGATGAAACGTGTTTGTGTCAAAAAATTTTCAATTTNTCAGGCTAGGGTTCTACCCTAGTTGTCCCCTTGAACTCTTTTATATCAGCAACCAAAAAATATATGCCTCCCCCATAATGTTAGTATTCTAATACGACCCGTGAAGTCTATTGTATCTTTTCTACAATTATGAATTGACCCCTTAAAACGTTAAAATCTTGGTTCCGTCCCTAATNCTAAATAAGATAATAGGTTAGAGTATTTCGAGTACACACGAAAAATTATCAATTTGCTACACATTACACATGTTTGACTTATTTACTATAATAATAAATCAAGGCCGAGTAAACAACTAAAGACAATAAATAAAAATTAAATGACTACTAAATCTGAGTTTAAGAGATGAGAGTTGTGAGATGAGGCAGAGGTTCAGAGACTTAATTTTTTTTTAAAAAAAATTATAGTACAACTATTAACAGATTGAAACGAGTTTATGGGTTAAACATGAAATCGATTCATTTATTTTGCGGGTCTGTCGAGTTAACCCGTTAATCACTTGAACCCGTTAAAACTACACCAAAATCCGTGTCGGATTCGTGTCGATTTTACGAGTCGTATCTNATGTGTCCCTCTCTCCAAGTCCATCATTGCTTGAGCTTGACTTAATTTTAGCTAAGTGGGGCTTTTTGGTTGAAACTTATGCATAAGATAAACATATTGGCTAATTTACAAGAACTCTTGCAACTTACTGAAGCTTTCTTGGGTTTGATGCTGAGATTGGTGTTAAAGCACAAAGGAGCATAGATGTTATAGATATTAATGTCGGAAACATCGATGTCGGCCGCATTAGAGGCGTTATTGCACTCATCGGACTCTGTGGTGGCTTTGGGAGAGAAATCACAATATTTCTGAATTTGATACGAAGTTTCATCCGAAATGAGAGCGTGACTCGCAAAGTAATCGTACATTCCTTTATTATCGGCCTCATCATTGATCACTGCATTTCCAATCTGCATGGCGTACAAGATAGAGCATGAGCGGAGTCAGAATTTTTTTTCAAAAACTAATAGTAAAGGTTCCATAACAACCAAAAAATATTTTTCTTGACTTTTGAAAACTAATTACTTTTTAATCATTACACAACATTTATGTCTCAAAAATTTAAGAAATTTACAGTGTCAACAAGTAAATTAAAATTCTACACAACTTAAAGAAACTTCGAAAATTTTGAGAAAAATATGCTAGCTACTACACCAATTTGTCCTAATAAAAATTCAAGAACTACTAGAAAATTGTGAAACTAGATCTTGGTAATTTTGTATACATTGGCCCTAATAATTAGAGTTTCAAATAATTTTTTTGAGAATTGAACGAAATCTAAGAAATTAGAGCTTGGTAATTTTTCTAAAACCTTATATACGTAAAGATAAGGTTCATTTTGTATAAAACAATTAGTTTTTATCAGTTTTTGTAATAAAATCATGTCAAATTCTGGATGGGGGAGAGATTGGAGATCTAAGAAAACAACCATATTAATGGCTCTGAAGACTTAGNTTTTGTAATAAAATCATGTCAAATTCTGGATGGGGGAGAGATTGGAGATCTAAGAAGAAAACAACCATATTAATGGCTCTGAAGACTTTGTGTACACATCTCATCTTATAAATATGATTCATCTCTACTTGTATCAAATACACAATTACAACGTAATTAGAACATCAATAAGAGTGATACAGCTCTTTTGGGTATTGTGTATTTGATTCAAAGAAAGATGACACATTTTTGTCAAAGTCTTAAAGCCATTAATATGGCTTTGGCCTACTTCTAGATATGTTAACCATAATTAATGACTGACATGTTGTAAAGATCTGACTCTTTCAATTATTGAATTCTCGTATCTTCAACAAACTATGCAATTGAGGGATGGTAATCAAGTAAGCACAAAGATAAACCAACCCCCCCCTCCCCTCCACAAAAAAAAAAAAATATCGACTTAGCACCATTTTTAGGATTTAGTTTTAAAATCCCAATGCTATAATTTTTTGAAGATTTGAAGGTGATCATCAAGAAAGCATCTCAACATTAAAGTTTGATAGTTGACTGCTATGTTAACTTAGTTAAATTTATTTTCGAGAGTTGTAGCGGGTGTGATCAAGAGACTCATGATTCCACCAATAATGACCTATTGAGATAGTCTCTGAACACTCTCTTTTATCGCACCTCTTTTTTGACAAAAAAAAAAAAAAAAAAAAAGAGTAAACATCTCAAAACTTAAGTGAATTCTACATGCAGAATTTGATTTTGAAATTCAGTGGGGTTATTGGACCCCATAGAGAGAGAGAGAGAGAGAGAGATGAAGATAATGATTAAACATGTAGTTGCAGCTGTTTTATAGTCTGGTTTTTTGTGTATTATTAGGTGAGTACAGCTTCAATTTCGGACATGTTCCTACCATATGACCAATGACAAGTCGGCGAGGAAGGTCGGCCTGGTCTGCTTTGTCTGTCCTAATCCCCGATCGGTGGACAAGTAAAAGAGTTATAGGAGCAGCAAACAGGAAAAGAAGGACATTTTAGAATAGCAAGAGTCCAAAACTATAACAACCTTGTGACATGACAACTAGTGTTGGCTCCTAATCCGGATGTTTCCATGAAAGTTGTAACTAATTGTCGTACTCATGTTTTGATTGATGGATTTAATTGGATGGGTTTGAACTAGACCTGACAATCGTGTCGAGTGAAACGATTTTGTGTCAGATGGAACGTGTTTGTGTCAAAAAATCCTCAATCTNCGATTTTGTGTTAGATGAAACGTGTTTGTGTCAAAAAATTTTCAATTTATACCCCATTCGTTTATATAAACGAGTCCAACTATTACATCTATACACCAATCATTTATTAGACGAGTTACCCGATATAACTCGTGTGTCACCCGCTAAATAAGATAATAGGTTAGAGTATTTCGAGTACACACGAAAAATTATCAATTTGTTACACATTACACATGTTTGACTTATTTACTATAATAATAAATCAAGGCCGAGTAAACAACTAAAGACAATAAATAAAGATTAAATGACTACTAAATCTGAGTTTAAGAGATGAGAGTTGTGAGATGAGGCAGAGGTTCAGAGACTTAATTTTTTTTAAAAAAAAATTATAGTACAACTATTAACAGATTGAAACGAGTTTATGGGTTAAACACGAAATCGATTCATTTATTTTGCGGGTCTGTCGAGTTAACCCGTTAATCACTCGAATCCGTTAAGACTACACCAAAATTCGTGTCGGATTCGTGTCGATTTTACGAGTCGTATCTAGAATTATCAGATCTAGTTTAAAGCATCAAAAGACCAAAAATAATACGTAACTCAAACTAGAAGACAGCTTAAATCAAGCCAAATAGGTCGGCAACAACTAATTAGGCTGTTAGTATGACTCTAAAAACCGACAAACATCGTAAAAAAATTCAGAAGGGATAAAAGTAAACTTTCCCTACAATACTTATCTTGGCATTAAGCCACCACCTCTCAAAGGTTATGTCATTACTTTTAAAAGACCACGGTCCTATGAATATGTGATTATCTTTAACAATCTAATATTCTTGAAATATTTTCTGACAAATATGTTACAATAGCAATAATTACATGTGTATAAAAGACCATTATATACGCTGCCTCAAGAGGATCCAAGGATCCCAACCCTATGTAAACAATTTTCTTCTTTTTAAAGAAATATTCCGTCAATGAATAAGAGTTTCCATTAAAATAAACTAATTAAGTCCTTCAGGCAAACCACAATAAATTCTTGTGCTTTCTTTACTTACTTGAACACACACAACACCTCTCTGTCAACAAGAGCTCCTCAATTCATTCACCTCATGCTTCTTGATTTTTTACGCCATCAAAAATCAATCCAATCTAGCCCAATGAATTTTGCATCTAGGATTGATTTTTTTTTTTTCTTCTTATCCTACATTTGGATACTTGAGTTAGACTGCATGTGGGGCCCCCAAAATATAAAAATCCTATTTGATTTAAGACTAGAATATCCTTCTTTCTGTGTAGATAGGACATCCATTTGGGACAAACTCGTCTTTTCACCAATGAATTCACTGGGCAATAATTTGAAACCCACCTCCCTGGGGTTTAATGAAGCCTCCATATATGAATTTATCGAAACTATTCATGTCAGGCAGGGGCATATATGTTTCTTCTCCTTTGAAAGGTGTTAATAGTAGGTTTTAACGCTAATAATTAGAAGAGCTTTCTCCCAAATTTCAATTATTCTCCTTGTGGAAAGGAGCAAGAGCTACTCTAAATATCTGGATTTCAGTCCACCCGACAATAATAGGTTGATAAGACCTAAATCTTAATTAAGAGAGAGAGAGAGAGAGACTTACAATGATCCCTTTGAGGTTGATGATAGTCTTATTGGCCTCCTTGTTATGGTATAGAATAGTATGAGCGAGTTGAGGTACGTAGTGTCCTGCGTAGCTCTCGCCTGATATGTAAAAGTCTCTATTTTTGTACTCAGGAAACCTCTCGAGCCAATTCACTAAGAAAACATAATTATCTGAAGCCGTCTTTCTATCTCCACCATTCGTGAAATCGGACGTTGTATTGGAGTATGAAAACCCTACTCCGGCCGGAGACTCCAAGAACAAAACATTTGCAGCTGAGAATAACCCAAAAATCAAAGGAAAACTTTTAGATTTTTCAGATATATAAAGATTGAGTTCTTGAATTAATAAGAAAAAAATAGAGAAGAAAAGAAAATACAAACCATGGTTCCATGCAAATTTATTTTGGTATAGGGTTTTGCCATCACTGTGGACTCGGAATGGTCCAAGCTCTTGCATTGCTCCATAGGCTAGAGAAGAACAACCAGGACCTGTGAACACATCAACACCACATTAAACTAATGTTACTTAACATTAACCACATAGAAATGGAATAAAAAAAGGGGACTTTTGTGGCTAGAACCTATCTATAGGAGGTAGATACTATAAATAGTAGGTGTTTTATAAACATCTGATCCGATATTTTTTTGGCCGTAATGTCTTAGGAAGAGACAGATCGAAATTAACTTAAAACTAGATAATAAAAACATATAATATCCTGCTGTTTTTAACAGAATTCATGTATCCGACGCTAAAAAAGTTAGATTTAACTTCCACCCACACCCTTCTATTTGATGGTAAATCGTTTGCTTTAAATTCAAGTGAGAGTACCTACATGTATAAGTTGGTCTCCTAGATCTACCACAGAGTGCAATAGAGAAAAAGAGTATTATAGGATTTTCAAGTCAAAACTTTGTTTGACTTAGAGTTGATTTTGACGACATAATTTACCAGTACAGTGTTTATCTACCCCAGTGATATGCCATGGATTCAAGTTCGGAAATCAACTTTTTCAAAATAAAAATAATACTATCCACTAATTACTCTTCTTTTTTTCCGAATATGTTATAGACAATAACCTTATACAATCGACATGTTATTTTAATCAGTATAATTATGTGCAATAAGAAAAATCTAGGCTGTTATTTTATTTTATTTTTTGATTTAGTGATCAAGGTTGTTCGGGTCCACACCTCGACTAATTCCCTCATTGGTCTGATCAAGGGAAGGTCATCCACAAGCGTGTTCATTAGGAATAAATCTATTATAATTTGATCCCTAAAGAGTTGTCAAAATTCGAACTCAGAACGTCTGAATTTATAATTCGTCTCTGTTATCACTTGAGCTACTGTTCAAGTGTATTTTGTTTATTTTTGGTTGATGGATATGTCTACCCTCTTGAATTGTGATTTTAATTATTGAAAAAAAAAGAAGGTTAAATGTCAAGGGGCATGCACGCGGTGAAAGGGATATGGCCACAAGACTTCCGGAATTTCCGGTGGCATGATTTGAAAGGGTTTAACTCATTAAGCCAAACTCTTATTAATATTAATAAAACATAATTAATGAAGTTTGTGAAGAAATAATAATAATAATAATAATACAGTGAGAGAATGATTATTATAATAATAATTAGAAGCATCTTAAGAAAAGTTAATTGTCTTGATATGACGTACATGCGTGTGCGTGTGCGTGTGCGTGGGGCTGGGAGTGTGAGAGAGAGAGAGAGAGAGAGAGAGAGAGAGAGGAGATAACAATCACAAGAAGTAAACAAAGTTGAAAATGTCAAAGGTTTTTGTTTAATTTTTTGGGTTTACTAGAGATATTTTTGTTTCTTTAGATGATCGAGAACCGTCTTAATTACGTATTTTTAAAAGCTATAATTTGAACAAAACAACTTCAGCACAAGTTGAAATTTGTAGAAGTTACATAAAAAATTTTACAACTTGGGGTGGGTTTAATAAAAAATACCTAACTTGATTTAAAGTCATGCAATATCTAGGTTGAAGTTTTGGACTCTTCAGATCAAAACTCAACTAAAAAATTTAATCCGAATTACATAACCAAAGGATAACATTCACGTTCAACCTGAGTCCAGTTTCGAGTTATATAACCTGATAATTAGATTTGATTTCACCTGAATTTTACAAGTCCTATATTTCGAGTACATTCCAATTTCAAAAATTTAAGCATACACTATGCTTTGGTTGAACGGTTGAGGTTGAATGCGGGTTCAAGTTAAACCAAAAAGAGAATTACTTGGTTTGAATTCTAATTGATCTATCAACTTGTCGAATTTTTCCGAGTAATATCTCATTTTTCAGACTCGTAGTTACAATATAAACTCTGGAGGTCTTAACTACCCATAAACCATGTCGCTTGAACTTAAAGATGGTGTCTGTCAAAAAAAAAAAAAAAACTTAAGAAGGTGAGATAGTAAGTCAGGGCTTTTGCCAGCAACTGTGATGGATGGGATATCTCCATCACTCGTATAAGGATGTACTGTACGACATTTCCGTCATTATAAGGTTTGAGGAAGGTTAGATGTACGCAATTTTATCACTACAAACGTTATTTCTGCGAGTCAAACCTGTAGCCTTACCATTTCGCCAAGGTCTAAAAAATGCACCAAATTACTATACTCTGGTGAGTGGTGACATTGACATCACTTAAAAATACAAATATTTGGAAAGAGATTCAATACCTCCATTAAGCCAAAGAAGAAGAGGCAAAGACTGCTTAGAATGATGAGCTTCAGCAAAGTAATAATAGAAAGCTCGACCAGCAGATTGATTGACTGTGATATATCCACCATACTGTGTGAACCCAACTTGTGGTTGTCCAGGCAATCTCTCAATTCTGTCTCTCTCTTTCAAACCCTCCTGAGGAAGAAGAACTTTGGCCCCATGAACATGGTGATCAATTGGCTTGAAATGGCTCTTGTCAATGGTGCAGTTTTTCATCATCTTGGCCTTGTAGAGGTGGCCAAGTGCTTCACTTTGTGTCTTCCCATAGCTGTCAGCTACAAAACTTAAATGGAGGAGAGAGAAGAAAAGTACCCAACAGGCCTTAGACTCCATTCTCCCTCTCTTTCTGTTCAGATATCTTTTGGGAGAAAGAGAGAGAGAGAGAGAGAGAAGCCCAGTAAGAGGTCTGAGTCCAAATTGCTGGTTTATATAATTGCTTAGAATGAACAACCTGGAAGGGTGGGATAAGATAAAACTCAATTATAATTGGACAATAATATTCTGTATCAGGGATTCAAAGTAGAATAATTTGTGTGAGAAATTGCTAAGCCAAAAATCATAGTTTGGGGGGAGAGGTTACTTTGACTGTGGATGCAAAACCATGTGGTCTAATGTGATTGGTTATTGTTTACCCAAGGCATATTATGATCCATTTATAGAATTTGGTGTTTGAGTAATTTTTTATTTATTTTCTATTTATCAAATTTAGTAACCAAATTCACAGTTGTCTTTGAATTAACTGAGTTCCCTTAAAAGGCTTATAATGAGTTTAATTCGGTCAAAGAAATTTCTTTTGGAATAAGTCCAATTTTAATTTTAATAATAAGTAGTTAAATCTTCTATTTTTTTAAAACTCCAAATATCCTTCCTTAAAAGAAACTTTAAATTAATTTCCTAACTTGAGAATTATTATTCCTTAATTCACTATCAATGAAGATATGTCAATAATTTTTTTAAAAAAAATTTAAAATTTAAATTCAAAAAACAATTGATATTCTCTCTTTTTTTTTTGTTGAGTAATTGATATTCTTTCTATCCCCCCCTCTCTCTCGGTCTATATATATATTATCATACTATTTATATTACTGTTTTGTTGAACATGTTACTGCTATTATTTTCTCAAATATTAATACTCAATGTTATTATTTTTTTATTTTTGAATATCATTATTTTTTTATTTTTGAATATTACTATTTTTTATGTTTAAATGTTACTATATGTATATATGTGTGTGTATATATAATGAGAGAGAGAAATAAATAGTCTTATTCTATATATGGATGTAGATAGATATGAGAGAGAAAGAGATATAATTTTAATGTTAGTCAAACTTCTAAAATTTAAGAGTTATTAATTTTTAAATTTTTTTAATTAAACATAACTATTAGGGGTATTTTGGACAATAGAGATTAAATTGGACTTAATATTAAATAAATTTCCTTAATAAACTTATCACCAAATAAATCCACAAAGAGGAATAGGCCTCCAAATTTCAGTTGAATTAAGTGAGTCAAAATATTTAATAGGATGCATTGTTAATCCAATAAATAACGGTGAATTAAATCAACCATTAAATAAAACGAATAATTGGTGCATATAACTCTATTAAACTTAAAAAGTGCTACATTTATGGAGTCTTATCCCTATATACAGAGAGTCTATTTTTTCAACTCAAACCCTTTGACCTAAGATTACAATGGAATAACCTTATATTATAATTTAAAATATAAATTAAAAGACGGTGCACTCTACATACAAAGGTAGTAGTTGTTGGATTACAACGGATATTTATATGTTATGTACAAGGGATTTAGATATCTTTTATTACTCTTTCCTTTCAATTTTTGTTAATACAATGCTAGAGGAGTAACATATATAAAATTTTAAATTTCAATGANTTACTATATGTATATATGTGTGTGTATATATAATGAGAGAGAGAAATAAATAGTCTTATTCTATATATGGATGTAGATAGATATGAGAGAGAAAGAGATATAATTTTAATGTTAGTCAAACTTCTAAAATTTAAGAGTTATTAATTTTTAAATTTTTTTAATTAAACATAACTATTAGGGGTATTTTGGACAATAGAGATTAAATTGGACTTAATATTAAATAAATTTCCTTAATAAACTTATCACCAAATAAATCCACAAAGAGGAATAGGCCTCCAAATTTTAGTTGAATTAAGTGAGTCAAAATATTTAATAGGATGCATTGTTAATCCAATAAATAACGGTGAATTAAATCAACCATTAAATAAAACGAATAATTGGTGCATATAACTCTATTAAACTTAAAAAGTGCTACATTTATGGAGTCTTATCCCTATATACAGAGAGTCTATTTTTTCAACTCAAACCCTTTGACCTAAGATTACAATGGAATAACCTTATATTATAATTTAAAATATAAATTAAAAGACGGTGCACTCTACATACAAAGGTAGTAGTTGTTGGATTACAACGGATATTTATATGTTATGTACAAGGGATTTAGATATCTTTTATTACTCTTTCCTTTCAATTTTTGTTAATACAATGCTAGAGGAATAACATATATAAAATTTTAAATTTCAATGAATAAGATGTTTCCTCTATTACCTCTTCCTCTTCCTTTCAATGCGGTGCTGGTATCACTGTTATATTGACTAGGCTCCGAACGGCCCAGTTTCCTCCTTCGGTGGGATAATCCTTGATAATTGGATGCATGATTAGGGGCAATTATATATTGTAGCACAGGTCAGCCAAGCCATGTGTACAACTGTTACTTTGTAGCATGTTCAAAATTGGGAAAATGACTGTTGCTAGCTCATACTTTCACAGCCCCTTAGTTGGCCATAATTGAAAATATCACCCATCTGATCTACTCTCTCTCTCTCTCTCTCTCTATGGTGCTGGGTGGCTTGAATAAAAAAACTAGATTAAACAACATAAGTTATAATTTATTAATATCAGATTAGAATCTCTTCTCGATTTCGCAGATTATCAAGATAATTGGGAAGAAAAAAGAATTTGTCTTTAAGTTTTTATTCAAATAAAAACCAAAATTGATACTACTGAATTAGTTTTCAATATGAAACCCTAATGATCCTAAATTACTAGAAAAACCAAGTAAACAAGCAATATTACGAAAATATCTCAAACAACATAATACAATAGAAAAGTGTCTAAAAAGTACCACAAATGTCGTTTTTTGGGCTTAAAAATGACAGGTTGAAAGATTCATTCTTACTCAAATTGTCGAGAGTTTTTGCAGAATGGGGTCTTCTCAAATTTTTTGACACTGTCGCCTAAAATTAGTCCTAATTGACGCTCGATCAACACTATTTTCGATAATTTTGATCTATCATGTAATCTTCTTATTTATCTCTCTTCCGAAATGTGACAACTCAATCAAATAAAAGAGTGTTTTAATATGGACTCTTTGGACTATATATACTACAAAAGTATCAATGATAGATACATGGCGAATATGGGGGTTCCTTCTAAATCGGAGAAATAATTGGTAAAAAAAGATTAGAATAACACTAATGTTATTGAGACATAATTAGGAGACATAATGAGTTGTCACTAATAAAATGATAGTGAAATGTATTTAATGATGAATCTCATTGTAAGATTAATGAATTCATTATCATATCATTGGTGACAACTCATTATGTTCTCAAATTATGTCCATAAATTATGTTCCAATAACATTACTCTTAGAGAGAGGGGGGCACCGATTCCTTCTGTTGGTTTGAACAGATTTGGGTGGGGGGGGAAGGAATGGGTTTGGCTCCTTCCAAGGAGGATATGCTGTTTTTCAAACACTTCAATCATCACTTTTAAAAGGCACAAAATAAGGTGTTAGGTAAAACACTATTTTAATACAAAAATGAATCCTCTAATTTCGTTATGTTTCATCTGTCATTTAAGTCAAAATTTAGATCTCGTTTAACACATTTTTTTACTCATTTTATTTGATAAAACTGTTAAATATTGAAAATTGAATGTTGAATTTTAAGTATTAAATGCTAATTTTTTTTTAATTCGTAGACTGATTGGTATTCAATTGAATTGAATCAATCCGTTTGACAAATATTAGGAGTTAAAATTTAAAAATTATTATTATTCTAATTTTTTCCTTCTGTTTAACCATCACTGTAACTACCTTATTCTTACCACCACTGTCACAATGGGTGGTGGCAGAGGATGGCGTATTTTGAAATATTAAGTGGTATGAGGTTTAAATTATCATTAATTCATTAAGTACTTAAAATATTTAATTTTAAACGTTATATCAAACAACCCCATCCTCTAATTTAGTTATGTTCATCGGTTATTTTGTCCACTTAATACGTCACTCATTATGTATGGGTGATAAGGACACATCTATGCATGACAGGTCAACATTCAATTTTTTAATAGAATTCGGATTCCATTTGCTCATCCACAACATTCACAAAACAAGTTTGCTCATTTGTTATTTTATTAGTTCTCAAGCGGCTACTATAGGAGTTGTGTAAAAACCCACCGCNAAAACAAGTTTGCTCATTTGTTATTTTATTAGTTCCCAAGCGGCTACCATAGGAGTTGTTTAAAAACCCACCTCCCCCAAATCAAAATTTAGGACAAATTACACTTTGACCCTTTAATTATGTCCTTACCTCACATTTTTAACCTTAACTTATATCTTTCTCACCCAGCACATCCACTTAAGTCTGTTAATGGACAAAATTTTGATCTGATTAGTCGAATATGGATTAATATTTTTTTTTCCTAATAATTCAAATTCAAATATATCTATATTCAATCTGATTATGATCTGATCTGAATTATTTATATATTTTTATATAAATATTAAAAAAATTAAGTGATTATTTAAAAAATTTTAATTAAAATTTAGGTATAATTTGTTTTAAATGTAGTTAATTAAGTTATTTCGATCGAATCAGATTTCAAATTATTAGTAAATTCGAATATGAACCGCAAAAATAAAATTCATTAAATTATCAAATCGGATTTGAATTCAGATCAATCAGAATCTGATTCAAACCAAATCGATTGTCGGGCCTTCATCTAGTTAAGTTTAATAATTTCACATTGCTTCCTTAATTATTATATTTCTCACATTGTACCTCAATTGTTACTTATCTTATATAGTCCCAGGCGCACACATTAAAAGCAAGTACTTACAACGTGAATGGATATTTTCCATCCAAAATACAGCATCCATTTGATTTTGGAACATTGTAAGATCAATTCAAGTAGCTAAGGTGAACTTATGAGAAACTCAATGGTTGAGGGGACAAATAGAGATTAAGTCCATAGTTGGGGGGTTCAAGAAATAATTTGTCCCAAAAAATAATGGGAAATCTACACTGAAGACTGACGAGTCCATATGCCAATTACAAAAATGGTTAATGAATGACTAGCACCAATTATTAGAGAGCATCACCAAGCTACAAACCCATCATCTACTATTGCACAAAAAATAAAATAAAAAAATAAAAATACCACCCAGAAATAATGCTACATACAATATTCCAAGAGACAAGACAGCAGGAATACATCAGCCAGGTATGCCAAACAGTGACATTAAGAAAAGCACATGTCATGGCTTCGAATTGGGTGGCCCAGGTTTGGTTTTGTCATGCCCAGAAAAATTAGTTTGGACCCAAATTGGTTAGTCAAGATTCCACTCATTTATCAGGAAATTCCATCCTCCACTTCCATATATGAACAGACTTTGATAGGTAAACATTTCAAGGGGTTTCTGATAGCATGAATGGTCAAGTATAACGCTTGCTGAAAAGGAGAGGGAGAATGACACTATGACTCTTAAAAAGTTTTAAAGCCTTTGTTTCATCTCTGGCCAAATCACACTCATGCCCCTTGTTTCATATTGCCTTCTAAACTATTTGTTTCCTCATATTGTTCCTTAAACTATTACTTTGAGTTTCGCATTGCCGCAATTGGGACAACAAAGTAAAACTCAAGGCAATAGTTTAAGCTGCAATGTAAAAAATTGGATAATTTGGGGAGTAATGTTAAACGAGAGGTATAATACAAGGGTTCCATGTATAATATATTATTTCGTATTTCACCTTCCTTCAAACACAAAATGCAGTAACCTGTACCAATTTTACCTTCAAACACTAACAAAATGCAGCAACCAACACCAGGAATCAATTTGACATAACAAAATGTTTATTTTCATTTCTGAAACACTCCAAACACTTCCAATGATACAGACAACAGAATATAAAAAGAGGTACTTATTTTAACTAGTATTTCAACGTTGGATTCGTTTGTTTAGTTTTTTCCTGGTGATCGAAGGTCATACCATGCAAGGATACCTAAAAAATAGTTGGGTTGCACAAGCTGCAATAATCATAGAATGATTATAATGATTGCTGAAGCTTAGAAACCCAGGGATCAATTCTCCTACCTCTCCTTGTAAGTTTTCTATGAAATATCATCTGTGAATGGATTGCTGGTGTGGGGTAAATCAGTTGCTTCATCCATCTTTTTACAGACGTATATGAAGTGAGAATCTGGATCTTCCAAAACATAATCTGGATGAATAAGGCCCTTATCAGTGGTAGGAACAGGTTCCAAGCATGATTTTCCAGATGAAGCAGAACCTGCAGGCCTTTGAAATCCAGGTTTAGCTGCAAATTGGAAGAAAAACATCAAAGCTTGTTCCTTGTTCAATAATGATTAATAGAACCATTAAGAATGAAAATGGTAAAAGGTCCATGCAAGTATATACCAGACATGCCCATAAGTCAAAACAAAGACAGAACAAGTGTATGGCAGCTCAAGCTCAATGAAATTAAAACTTGAGACATCAACAAATATGAGGCAATGACAAGAATTGGGTGGCAAAATTAAAACTTGGGGAAAATATCAATGATGACCTAATTACAAGGATATTTCAAGACTTCTCTAAAATATCACTGCACCCCCTTATAGTACATATATCTGCTTGACATAATACCCTTAACCGTTACAAGTGTTAAAGATATATCCAAAACATGATTGCGTACAGAATATTCTTCCAAAATACCCACATACCCCTCCCCCCTCCTCATGCTGCTACTTCACAACCTAGCATCACCACCCTCTCCACCTCCGTCAACCAACATTCAAGAACTTGAACCCATACCCCATAAAATAAACACTAATTGTGAAACTCATCTTCACTCAATCCATGTTCATAACAAAAATCGACACCCATGCGGTGCAATAGCAACATCAAAGTCGTTGTCCACCACAACCATACCATCACCAACGGCTATACCACCGAACAACTTCCATAACATACACAAATGCTCACATGCTAGAACAACGACGGCAAAGCCATTGGCCACCCACAACCACATCACCACCATTGGCTGCCACCACTGAACCACTGACTTAGCACACAAACGCACATTGCAATGCCAGTAAAAAGCCATACTACATCACCATAACAAAAACAACAAGGGCTACCACCATTAANAATATCACTGCACCCCCTTATAGTACATATATCTGCTTGACATAATACCCTTAACCGTTACAAGTGTTAAAGATATATCCAAAACATGATTGCGTACAGAATATTCTTCCAAAATACCCACATACCCCTCCCCCCTCCTCATGCTGCTACTTCACAACCTAGCATCACCACCCTCTCCACCTCCGTCAACCAACATTCAAGAACTTGAACCCATACCCCATAAAATAAACACTAATTGTGAAACTCATCTTCACTCAATCCATGTTCATAACAAAAATCGACACCCATGCGGTGCAATAGCAACATCAAAGTCGTTGTCCACCACAACCATACCATCACCAACGGCTATACCACCGAACAACTTCCATAACATACACAAATGCTCACATGCTAGAACAACGACGGCAAAGCCATTGGCCACCCACAACCACGTCACCACCATTGGCTGCCACCACTGAACCACTGTCATAGCACACAAACGCACATTGCAATGCCAGTAAAAAGCCATACTACATCACCATAACAAAAACAACAAGGGCTACCACCATTGANAGAAGACATCATTCATCACGCCAAATGGGACATACTGCTACAGGGTCATGCCCTTTTGGCTAAAGAACGTTGGAGCAACCTATCAACGGCTAGTGAACAAGATGTTCCAGTCTCAGATCGGACAAACAATGGAGGTGTACGTGGATGACATGCTGGTAAAGAGCCTTGCAGCAGTAGACCACATCGATCACCTCCAAAAAGCTTTCAACGTCCTGAGATCCTATCACATGAAGCTCAACCCTGAGAAGTGCGCCTTTGGTGTGGGGTCTGGTAAATTC